TGGTTGGCCAGGTAGCTGTCTTCCAAATTTCTTGACATAAATGAGCAAGGACCTCCAGCGCTGCATCCATTTGTAGAGACATATCATTGGGTATTGTCAATTCCTGGAACCTTATTTTTTGTCAACTCCTTCAGTGCAGCTGTGACGTCTTCCTTTAATACCATTGGTTCTTGATCATATACTACCTTCTGAAATGGCTGAATGTCAACCAATTCTTTTTAGTACAGTGACTGTGTGTATTCGTTCCATCTTCTTTTGATGTTTCCTGCATCATTCAATATTTTGCCTACAGAATCCTTCAATACTACAATTCAAGGCTAAATTTTTCTTCAGTTCTTTTAGCTTGAGAAATGACTAGCATGTTCTTCCATTTTGGTTTTCTAACTCCAGATCTTTACACATTACATTATAATACTTTGTCTTCTCCAGCCACCCTTTGAAATCTTTTTTTAAAAAATTTATTGTGATTGGGTGAAAGTTTACAGAGTAAATTCATTTTCCATACAGCAGTTCAAATACATTTTGTTTGATGACATTGACTACAATTCCCCACAATATAACAGCTCTCTTCCTACTTCCTCCCTGTAGTTACCTCTTCCCTGTGTCCTTCTTTCCTATACATTCCTGTCCCCTGAGCTAGCTCCCTGTGTAAATACTGCCCTTCTGTTCTCCCATGATTGATTGTTCTAAGGAGTGTATCTACCTGATATAAATGTTCACCTTATATGCCTGTCTATTGTTTGGCTGGAAGCCACGTGATCTAGGCCTGAAGGGTGACTAGAGGCCATAGTTTTGAACATCTCACCAGGCTCTATCAGACCAGTAAGCGTGGTCTTTTTTATGATCTTGAGTTTTGTTCCACATTGTTCTTCACTCCATCCAGGATCTCCTGCACTGATCCCTTTCCGAGTGGTTGACAGTGGTAGCCAGGTACCATCTGGTTTTTTAGGTCTCATGGTCAATCTCATGGCTGAGGTTCACATGGTCCACTAGTCCCTTGGACTAACTTTCCATGCATCTGTGGTTTTCTTCATTCTTCTTTGCTCTGGACGAAGAGAGACCCATTGTTGCATATAGATGGCTGCTTGCAAACTTTTAAGACTCCAGTCACTACATCAAAGTAGGATGTAGAACAATGTTTCTGTGTAGTTAGTATATCATCACCTTTCAAATCTTCCATTCAGCGCTTTCATTTAATCATTTCTTCCACTGTAGAAATGTAGCTACTCTCCCTTCAAGAGCAAGTTTCAGAGTCTCTTCTGACATCCATTTTGGTCTTTTCTTCCTTTCCTGTCTTTTAATGACCTTGTGCTTTCTTGGGAACTCTGGTGGCGTAGTGCCTAAGGCATCTGACTGTGAACCAGAAGGCTGGCGGTTCAAACCCACCAGCCACTCCTCAGAAGGAAGGTTGGGCAATCTACTTCCGTAGTGATACCGCCTCGGAAACCCAAGGAGGGGTTGCTATGAGTCGAATGTGACTCGACAGCAGCGGGTTTGGTTTGGTTTTACTTTCTTCATATATCATGTTCTTGATGTCCTCCCACAACTCACCTGGTCTTTGGTCACTGCTGCCCAATGTGTGAAATCTATTCTTTAGATGGTCTCTGAATTCAGGTGGGACATAATCAAGGTCCTATTTTGGCTCTTGTAGAATGATATACTGCCTAAGAGCCCAATGTATCAAAAAAAAAAAAAAAAAAGCAGACCTGATTGAAGGGAAGTGGGGCTCCTGTCCGGTGCTATCCCAGCCTCTGAGGTGCTGGGCCTCTGGCAGCACTGGGCCACTCTCTAGCGTGAATGATAGGCAGAGACCACAGGTGAGTGAAGAGTGAGTGACGGAAGGTGGTCGGTGGGGAGGTAATTTGGTATCAGAGTATATCAGGAGGGCAGTAGAAACAAGAGATGGAGATCTGGGCAGAGGTGAAGACATGGAAGTAGGAAGTTTACTTATTGTCACCACTTGGACACAGGGAATGAAGAAGACAGACCAGTTTGAGGAGACACTAGAATATAGAAAGAAAGAGAGAAAGAAACTCTGGAGAGGATCCCATGGAAACGAAAGAGCAATAATAAAACCTCTCAGGACAAGTGTGGAACAGAACTTCAAACTCCTACAGAAACCAGACTTCCTGGATCCATTGAGGCTGGGGGAACCTTCAAATCTAATGCCTGGAAATCATCTTTAAACCTTGAACCAAAATGATCCCATGATACCATTATTAAACTAAATAACAGTTCTTTCAGTCCTTTTAACAAAGAATGTTTGCCTGATGCACAGCACTCTTTATAAATCATCTATATATGAGTTTAAACTGACAACAATTAATTCAAAGCACAGGTGAGAACTCTGAAGGGCAAAGAGTGTACATTAATGGTGCTGAAACAACGTGGGTAGAGATCATGAGAATGGAGACACAATGTGAAATATGTAACCAATGTCATTCAATCGTCCACACAGAATCTGTGAATGGATGTATGTTTGGTTGTGTGTATTGCCATCACAAATAAACAAAATGCTAAAAAAAAAAAAAAAAAGACAAACCAAAAAAACCCAACAAACAACAATAAAAAACCTCTTGGAAACATTCTTTATGAGAAAATGGAGACACAACAGAAACATGGGGTTCTGATCAAAACAGAGGAAATCAAAACAGATTATCAAATTCTCATGGAATCCAGACTTTCTGGAACCATGACAGTTGGATGAGCCTTGGAAACTACTGTCCTGAGATCATCTTTAAACCTTAAATCAAAACTATCTCCTGGAGTCTTTTTAAAAGGAAACAAAGGTTTAGCTTAACCAGTGAAAAAGGTCTGCTTTGAGCTTGTGCTCTTTTGAGAGCTATCTATAATGGATGAAATTGACAACAGCCAACTAGAAAGGTTAGATAGGCAGCTGAGGGGCCAGTGAGTTCATGTTCATGGGGCAAGACCAATATGGAAGAGGAGGGTGAGGACTGTGGCACAACTCAGAGAATGTCTTCAGTGTCATTGAAGTGTATTATTATGAATTGTTGAATCAGTGTATGTTTTGCTACAAATGAAAAAAAAGTTTTAAGTGGAGGAAAAAAAAAAAAGACATGAGCTACTACAGAACTGGAACCATATGGACCCACGGAATGGGAAGCTAATAAAAAAGAAACTCCAACAAGGACCCTAATGAGAACGGATCCTATCTCTTAGGACTCTCTACTAGGGAAGAGGGCAAATGGTGAAGAGCACTATCAGAGCCTGAACAAACAACACGCAGTAAAATCAAGCAGGGAGAGAGTCTCCGCCCTCTAGGTTTTGAGCGGAACCAAAGTGCTCCGGAAACGCGAGCCCGGAGTTTATTTCCAACAGAGCGCAACCCTTACAACTATGATTCCCAGGAGGCTCCGCGGCTCCGGGCCAGCTTCCCATCCCTAGCGCCCACGCAGTCACTGCCGGGACACGTAGTCCTCGCCGCGGTAACCCTGACCGGAAGGCCATCTCCGCCCCCGCCGTCCGCCCTACCTCCTTCCATGTCCTCCGTCCAGTTGCGGCTGCTACTCGTGGGAGAACTGGGCGAGGTGTAGTAGTCGCCGCCGGGGCTCGTGTCCACGTCTTCCTCCATTGAACCCGATTTGTGCCGCTTGCTCCTAAGGGACGAGGAGAGGAGAGCGTGGGCCACTTATCAAAGAAACGCGGGGGTGGGGTGGGGGGCGGACTTTACAATTTCCGGTCCTTAGGGGGAGCGAGGATAGTAGTATCGCGACACATCGCGGAAGCCCGAGACTGCCAGTTTGTTTTCAGTTAACACATGTTCGATCCCTCTCATTGCTTGCCAGGGGTCACCAAGAGCCAGAGACGGGGAGAGGCTTAAGCGAGGTCGGGAAGCAAACTAGTAGAGTGGAGACTAAAATCCAAGAACCCTGGCTAATCACTTGATGTTGTTATGTGCCATCGAGTCGGACCGGACTCATAGCAGCCCCTCCTTGGGGTTTCCCAGGAGGCATCACTACGGAAGTAGATTGCCCAACCTTCCTTCCAAGGAGTAGCTGGTGGATTTGAACTCTCAGCCTTCTGGTTAGCAGTCAAGTGCCTTAGGCACTATGCTACCAGAGCTCCTGCCTAATCATTTGGCCTCCTGTAATCCTCAGAACAACCCTATAATATTGTAATGGCCTCTCCACAGACGGGGAAACCGAGTTTCACAGTGTCAGCACATCACAGCTACACAGCCTATCTCAGCAAGAACCTGCGTCTGCAGACTCAGGGGAGTCCCAATGGCTGGGCCATGAGAACTTGAGGCTGGGGTGTGAACGCTGGGAGAGGAGGCATTTGGGGCTGGGTTTTGAATGTTAAGGAGCTCTGCTAGCACAGTGCCTAAGGCACTTGACTGCTAATCAGAAGGCTGGTGGTTCAAATCCACCAGCTACTGCTTGGAAAGCAGACTGGGCAATCTACTTCAGTAAAGATTTACTGCCTTGGAAACCCAACGAAGGTTGCTATTAATGGGAATTGACTTGATGGAGTGTTTTGTTTTGTTTTGTTTTTTAAAGGATAAAAGAGTCCTGGTAGCATAGTGGTTAAGGGCTTGGCTGCTAACTGAAAGGTCAGAGGTTCAAATCCAGCTGCCCTGTGGGAGAAAGATGTGTCAGTGTGCTTCCATAAAGGATAGCCTTGGAAACCCTATGGGGCAGTTCTGCCTTGTCCTATAGGGTCGCTATGAGTTAGAATGGCAGTGGCATTGGTTTTGAAGGATGAGTAGGAATTTCCTAGGTGGGTCATGAAAAAAGGCATTCCAGGCAGAGGAATGAGCCAGCTGGAGTGAAAGCAGGGTGGGTGGAGGGTTGTGAAATGCTCTGGGGTGGGGACCAGAGCACGTACCCACTGGAGGAGGTGCTGGGTAGTGTTCTTCTCATGCCAGTGCTGGCTGGATTCAGGTCATATGCCAGGTGCCCCTGCAGCTCTCCCAGGGAGAAGTTGGGTCCTGTTCCAGTCACCACAGGTGCTGCAGAGGGCGACAGAGGGGAATGAGGGAGGGAGCAGGGCCCAAGGCTGTGGTTTGTCCTGGAGAAGTGGGGACACCACCTGGGGCAGGCAGATGAGATGCTCTTTCCCAAATTAGCCTGTTTCTAATTTGGCCCAAACTGGCCTTGTTCTATGAATCAGAAAACCAAGGCCATGAGAGAGCCCAAGGTCGTAGAGTGAGGCAGAGGCGTAGCCAGCGCTGAAGGCCAGGTTCTGTGGAGGGAGGGTGATGACCAGGGTTAAGGCAGGACAGTGCCCAGGACTCCCTAGAGTGGGATGAAAACGGGTGTCTGGGGACTGTGGAAGGGACAAAGGGAAAAGGGTGGGGGGCCCTCTGGGGTCTCCTGGAACAGAGTGGGGTGGCTTCAGAGAAGAGGGATGCTGGTGGAAGGCTCCTTATCAGCCTCCCCCCAGCATTTGGATTCTCTTTCCCTGGGGAGGTGGGTGGTATGTCACCCTGACCCTGGCCTCTAGATTCCACCCTTCCTGGGAACCTTGGCTTGATGACAAGGGGTGGCTGATGGGGCCCCCTCCTCCCCTCTGAAGGCCCATCCCCCTTCTCCCAACCTCCACTTCTCTGAGCCCCTTTCTGTCTCTAAGACCCTTTTCTGTACCTCCCCTCCGTCTTTCTTCAATGCCCTTCCCCTCTTTGAGCCCTCCCCACCTGGAACCCCTTCGAGCTCTCCAACCTCCTGTGTGTGAACCCATTGCTTTTCTCGGGGCCCCTCTCTAAGCCCCGCCCCCTACCCCCTGCCC